TTCTGCAATCCAACATGTGGACCACACCCAGTGCATTCATCTCCAATTATCTCCATCATATTGTGGTTTCATCTTTGGGTTTTGTCTACCACCTGTGGCCATTCTTTAGACTTTGGTGGGACTATAACTGGTAAGTTTTTATTCCTACTTTCATTTCAGGGGCCTTTCTTTATCCCTTGGATCCTGCTCTGTGGTGAGTGGTGTCTGACCAGGTATTCTTTAACTCAAAATTTGCACTGTGTAGCCATGTTGACTCACGCTTTATTTTCCATGGCTTTGCACCCTCACCATTGAGATGGGGTGTTCCCCAAGATTGCTTGTAGATGCATGACCTTATGATATATGGCTTCATAAACACACTAGTCCCAGACTGTACCACCCATGTACTGCATGCGTAAAGCAGAAGGGGATTTTTTCCTATCCCTGCCATGCTTGGAGTGAATAACTTGGTATGGTCTGATTTTCAAAATAAGGCTTCATGGTCACCCATTGCACTGTCTCAGGTTATGATGTTCCTCTGGACTTTCCACTGCAGTCACTCTCCTTTCTTCGAGTGGAGTATAAGAGTCCTTATCACTTTCCAGTTCCAAGCCACTAGGGTGGTTGACCATGAAGGCACTCTGCTGAATGAGTTATACACCATATCCATTTAGTAACAGAATAGGGTGGTGGGGTTCTGTGGGTGTAGATGACATTATATCCTACTATTTGCAACCACCAATGACAACAGAGTGAGACACCAGAAGGCAGTTCACTGCTTCAATTGGGAGCCCCCATCTTACCCTCGCGTAGATGTCGGTACCCTGCAGACAGGTTTTGGATTTAGAGTGAACCTGGCTCAGAAGTGGTGTGGTTCCCTTTTTCTGCTCCTCGGATCTGAATCTCTCAATTTTAGGGGTATCCTTCAAATGCTTTCGGGGAGGTACTTCTGTTGTTCCCTCGTACCGGCCCCTTCTCCTTATCAATGTTGGATTCTAGCAAATCTTGTGAGAGAAGGTAAGTACCCTATCAGAAGTTATAATTCTCCTACCCTTCTTCCCCACATTTCTTTGGTGCTGACATCTTCTGCCAAACTTCGAAGTAATAGTTCGGTAGAAGAGTGTAGAGGTGAGCAAGTCATGCTCTTATTAATGAGGGGGTGATGCATGATGATTTACATTAGAGACATGCAATTCCAGTAGGGGGGGGGGAGTGGAAGGCTTGTGGCATGTTTAAAGAAAAAGTTCGCATATAGAGGGCAGCACTGAACGAGAATAGCTAATCTTGTGCATATAGAGGGCAGCCCTGAACAAGAATAGGTAATCTTGTGCATATAGAGGGCAGCACTGAATGAGAATAGCTAATCTTGTGCATATAGAGGGCAGCACTGAACAAGAATAGCTAATCTTGTGAGATGAGGTAAGTACCTATCAGAAATACATTTTCAGTATAGGAAAATTTTATCATTGGATAAATGTAATAATTTTAGACGACAGGTAAAAATTATTTCATAGAAATTCGTGATAAAGTGATATTTAATTATTCCATCTTTTGTACTTGTCTAGAGTTATCTTCATTCATATTAATGTTTTTATTTTTATGGATTTATTCTTAGGCTTGCTGTAGTACCCCATAGAAACATAATGCCTAATACCTCTACACTTGTTTTACTTTTATGTAATTTAATACTTCATTGCAGGTCTAGCTTTATCAGTAAGATTTGATACTACTGATCACTCTCAGTAGTGTATGTGTGTGGTGATATTTACTATTCATTTGGATGAGGTGGTCTACTTAATCATCCTTAAGGCCAATGATAGCGATTCCCTTGGGTTTCTTTGTACAAGATATACCTCATTTATCTGTGTGCTGGTATATTGTTTATGTAAATACCAAAGACATCCCTTTAACCCAAGGTTTTTAAGACTGCTTGGTGTATTGCTATGCAGCCAGCATTGGGCTGTTTTGAGAAGCCTAACAGATTAAATTTCTTTCCAAAGGTCTGAGTATAAAACGGCATTGAGATCCAGCATTGTTGTCCCTAACTACATGGTACTTCAGGTTCTTTGCCACTTATTTCTTGATATTCTGATAGACCTAATTTTACTTTCTTCCCAAGGAGTGATGGGCACCTCTTTGCTTTCTTCTGCCCTCTCACATTTTTATTGAGGGTATTTTAACTCAAAGTTACTTAAAGACACAATTTCGTATTTGAATTCAACATTTAAGTTGTAACATATGATTTAAAAAATGTACTTTAGTATAATTATTCCTACCTTACTTAAAACAGTGGTAATGACTAGGTTTTATGTTATTTGTAGTATTAGGGGTGGAGCATTGGTGGTAACAGTACTTTGTTATCTATATGTAATGTTAGGTCTTGATGACTACTTATTTATACATAATGATACAGTGTGAGTGACAAAGCTTTGTATTCTTAATATGAAATGTTATGGTTAATAAATAGTAGTGACCATCTTTTCATTTTTATGTATTTTAAGATATATCCTAATGTTAGCTTTGATGGTATTTCATACGTTAACCTCCTTGGCTGTTATCCAGAGACAGTCTTGGGGTGAGCAAGCTAAACAACAATTGTTCACACAGAGACAGTCTCAGGGTAAACTTTACTTTCTAATTGTACTGTGTTTAGCCTGAGTATTCCCTGCTGAGTGCTACGGCCGTTTACCACTATTTGACATCACCAGACCCCCCACTGGTAGAGCCAGTACATATCCTTAAGAGCTTTTTACATAATTATTTTCAGAGCAAAGTCGGCACACTGGGTCAGTGTTCCTGCATTTCTTGCCCATTAGTCATGCATGATATACCACCCTCTAATTGGGTATTATAGCTTGTAAATGGAAACAAATATTACTGAATGTGTCGTATTCCAATTTTTCTGATGATGGTAGTGAATCAGAATTGCTTTGGCAAGATGGCTCTAGTTCAAATAAAAGTAATATAGTCAATGTAAGTGAAAATGAAAGTGATTCTGAAAATGACTGTGGCCTTCAAGATGCATAAACATGGAGTGTCCTATAAATCTAAATAACATGACTGGTAAATTTAATTTTATAGTGAGGGAACTGAAAATATTGTTAAAAAAAATGTCACAACGGTACAAAAAATTCACAAGTATAAGAATACTTAGGAGGTAAAGAGCCGATAGACATTAATTTTCAGTGATCATTTAACTCTTTCAGTACAGGCTTGGTTGATCTGACTGACCGTGTGACCTTTTTGTGCTCGTATAAAGTCTTTATAAATTTGATACTATTAGCTTTTAATGTAGTATGTATATCTTCACAAAATTTGGCAGTCTTTCAGTAAACATTATATGTCTTTCACTTACAACAAATACCACAAAAGAAAATCGAAATAAATCTAAATTACCCTTTTTTCTTTGTAGAATGACTTCAAATTGTAACATGAAACTACATTTGTTTATCCTAAGTAGCTTTAAACTCTCAATGGTACACATCTATTTATACTTAAATTTTATTCTTTTATTGCCCTTTGAACTATGTCTAACTACTATTTGTGCCATTATAATTTTAACTCACTTGGGGAACATGGAGGTCATGTTACACTATCAAATTATGCTACATGTGAGCTGCTTGCGTGCATGCCTCATGAAACATTTTTATTATATTATTATTATTACTTATTTTACCTAATCTAACCTTAAGTAACCTAAAGATATCCCCTGTTTTTACATTTTAGTTACTTTTATAATAACAAATAAAGAATAAACATGAAAAACAAGAAATAAAGTACTTACCGGAATCTTATTTTTTCTTGCTGTCGATGACACTTAACCCTACTTTTTTATACTAATGATAGTAATGCACTAAATATTTTTTATATAATTAAATAATGCACCAAAGAACATAGACTAATAACATGCAAAATTAAGACAATTTCCCCTAACTTTCACAATATTTCTGGCTTTCCAAGTATGCGATAAGAGTCGTTCCAAATTCATCCAAGCTAGTCGTTATTTTTTCCATGTGAATGAAGCTTGTACTAACAGAGAAAATGACAATTTTCTGTTCAGAAAACAACGTAATATAGTACGTCATTTGAGAGATTAAAACCTTGGCTTTCTATTCATTATACATAATATAGTATTAAGAGTAAGAGAGAACTATTAACAAATTCTGAAAGTGAGGATGTGACAGGTGGGTGTGGCAAGAGGGGTCTGATTTTCTATATGATAGTTCTGTAAACAAACAAAATTTAAGGCTTCAAAAATTATGGTTTGTCTGAGTAATGACAACTTGATAGTGAGTAATTTACATTTAATTTCATACTTATTGGAGGGGTGGTGGTTAAAATAGAAAAGAAGAGATACCTAGAGAAAATGTGTCATCTTTCTCACACTAGGGGAAATTTAGGCTTTTGTAAAATATTGCTTTATAAAATTAAGAACTTTAAAATTATATACTATTAAAATATGGATTATTAGCTCAGATTTTATGCTGTACTAATTGGTATAACATAAACAAAAGTAGATTAATAAAATTTTGAATGAGTCACTAAAATCTTGTGACATGCAGTAAAGGATGCCCATCTTGATAGGATTAAATGTGCAGTAAGCTGCAGAATGATTGAATGGAGAGTATGTAGGTTTTTCATTGCAGAGTGTAGAAGCGTCTAATACAAAAAACACCTTTATTGTATCATATTAATAGTTAGAATATGATGTTCAAAGGGTAATTCAAAAACAATGTCTGCTTATTACCACTGTATAAGCTTCTTATTCTTTTTTTTTTTGAATTTTTTCTGAGACATATAGCATGGATTAATGAAGATATGGAGTCAAAATACCTTTCTACACCTTTATAGTTTATAATGTTGTAACAAGCTTTTAACTTCTATGCTGCAGTCATCTTTAGGTTTACAAGAAGACAGCTCTAATATATGGTCCAAGATATGTTCTAAGAAATTAATAACGAACATTGAGAAAATCTTGTGTGTTTTATTGAATTATCAGTAATGTAAATATCTAATGCTAGGGCTGGCATGGTGGCAGTGACCAGATGAGAAAGAGACTCATTTCGTTTATTGGAAAGATTGGGAAAGAAACAAGTCAAGGAAAGACATCTACAAAGGTTAAGCATATGTTTATGTCTTTGTGAAATTGATTGTAAGTTATTTTTACATTCTGAAAAACTTAATCGAGGCACCTTATTAAGAAAGTTGACAATTTAATTGTAGCCAACACAGTACAGTATTTTAGTCTAGCTGTTCCTTGTTCATTGTAAAATAAGTTGATGAATGTTACTAGTCAAGGAATTTTTAATAGACCATGTCCACTAGTTTGAGCTTTTGTTGATGAACAACTTGTGTTACGATAGACAGAGAATTTTTGTGTTTGGTTTTAATATATTGGTTCTTGATGCTATTTTTGTTAATGTATATTTTTCTTTGGTTAGATACAGGTTCTAGATGTTTTGTGGGAGTTAACAAGGTCTCCAGATTTACCCAGACATCTAATAGAACAGGCACAAGAAGAGCTTCTCAATATTTTGAATGAAATTTCGCATAAAGATCAAACAAAAAAAAATTACTTGATTCGTTGCTTGGATGACATTAAAAAGGCAAGATTATTTTTTAAGATACAAAAGTATTTTCTCTAACATTTTGTTTGTGTTATAAGGGGCATAAACATAGTTTATCTAGTTTTATATCATGTTAATGTTTCATTATATATAAATTATTCAGTTTTCAAATTTTACTATTACCCTGTTCCGAGAACTTGGTTGTATTATATGTGCAGAATAAAAGAAAAATGAATGTATATTTTTTGATGAACAATTTTTTATAGTGTTTTCCTCGAATTATCTTCAGAAATTATCTATGAAGACAGATTAATGCATGTGTAAAAGTGTTTTTAAAAAATACTTAAGCTCAAGTTTGATAGAAAGTGTTCTGATAATAATACAGTGATAAAACTTTTATTAACCCATTGACTACTGCACACTCTCTGAACTTGTTTCTGTGCGTCATGAGGTATACATTGAAACTACTTTATTATTCAATGTATTTTAATGAAATTAGCATTATCAAGTATGTTATAATTCAAAGTTTTACATAATCTAAGTTTTTTATTCCTTTATTTCAAAAGAAACCTCTAAAACAATACTTAAATTTCAGTTTTGTTGTCACATGATGTGCTTGTGGTTAAAAATTGTTTGTGTTTCTTGTATTTCAAATATACTCCATATGCAGTGTGTGTGTGTAGTTTCTAGGCATAAAACTACATGTGTACAGGCTGATTAGCCAACATTTGTTTTAAATTAAAAAAGGAAGCTACATATCTTTGTACCGTCTAACAATAGCCACCCCCACCTTCTAAATTAGAAAGAAAAATTCTAAGTTTTTGAGGGGCATGTTTATAACCAGTAGAAATAACTAATTTTAAACTACAATCTCTCAAAGATTATCTTAAAACTGGAATGCATTATTCAGTTTCAAGCTCATTAAATCTCTAAAGCATCGTTGAAGGTTCATCATTGAAAGCACCTAATTATTTTTTTTCCTTGCCTCCTGTATATATTCGTTTGATAGACAGTTAAGTTGTATTTAGATTTTACTTTTATATTTTATTATGTATTATTTGAGTTTTAAAAGTCATATTTTAATGGTTTAATCATTTCATTAGTATAATATAAACCAAACTTTGCATCGCTCTGCAAGGCTTACACAACTAAGCCTAACTAAAACATTTTGCCAGAGGCTAAAGTAACTTATGCTGATGATACTGTTTGATCATTCTTGGGAACCTGTTGAAGAGTATCGACATGAATAATAAAAAATAAAGAATTGGAAAGGAAGATAAGTGTTAAAAATAAACTAGAAGTGAAAAGATATAGATGTGATATTACCCAAAGAAGATATTTGAAGATTATTCAACAAAGACTTAAAGGATATGTAGATATTCCCATTTCTTTATTTTAAACATTTCATTTTGCTGTATGTTTATGATAATAGCTACAGTTAGTGATATGGTAGAGAAAAATAAAATATAAACATTTATATAATATGAATAGAAACTCAGTAGTCATGGGTTAAATATATGTGGTACTTTTTTTTTGATTATCATAATTTGTTTCAGGGTGCTTATGTTATGTTATCCCTCAAACTTTTACATGAAATAAGTCAGAATATATTGAAGTCAGGTCTCTATAAACAAGATAAGGTAAGCTGTAATTTCATTTTATTATTGTTGTTCTTACACATACAAAGCTGAATTTGTGTTTCAGGAATTTTTTTTTTTTTATGTATTAATGGTTGTTGTTATCATATATTATTAATGTAAGGGTTGCCCAAAAAGTTTTTGGCCTAACCTTAAAAAAAGTGGAAAATATGATTTTTTCTGATAAATATTAAGTTTGAACCTTTTTATGAGCAAACAACATATAACTTAAGGAGCATATTTTTTGTGTTGCTCATTTTTGAAGGAATTTGAGCAAAGTTAAATGTCATGGAGAAGGTCATACTTTGTGCTGTGGTCAAATATTTTGCTAAAAAGAAAATGACATCCCAAGAAATCCACCAAGATATGGAAGCAATGTTAGGAGAAGGTCCCCTGGCATATTCAACAGTGAGAAAAAGTGCTGTGCTGAGTTTAAGCACAGTTAAAGTTCACAGTTTGGTTATATGTGATAAAAGTATAACCACTAGGAAGTTAACAGAAGAAGTGGGAATCAGAAAAATTACTGTAGCAAGCATTTTGAGTGACAGTTTGGGCGTGAGTAAGGTTAGTACCAAATGGGTCCCAAAAATGTTGTTACCCAAGCAGAAACAGATCCAAGTTGTTGAAAGCCAATGTCTACTCCAAAGGTTTCAATAGACTTGTAACTATGTATGAAATGTGGATTCTCCACTTCGACCCAGAAACAACAAAATTGAGCCACCCCAAAGAAGTCACAACCCTCTGCTGGGAAGGTCGTGGCATTAATGTTTTGAGATGCCAAAGGTGTTTTACTTTAAATGGGATGAAACTATTACAGGAGATTACTATGCATCCATAATCAACAATTTGCATCAAGAAATAAAGAAAAGAAGAGAGAATTGATAAAAAATTTGAAAGCTGTTCACGATGCTGCATTCGAATTACTCAATCACCCCCCACCCCATACTCACCAGAGTTAGCTCCATATGACTTTTTCCCTTTCCCTAACCCAAAAATGTTTCAGGATTATGATGATTTCATACATACCACCCAACCATGGATTGAGGACCAACAAGAAGAATTCTTTCGGAAAGACATAGAGACCGTAGAGCACTGCTAGCATAAGTATGTAGACTCAGGAAGGTATTATGTTGAAAAATATATCATGATTGAACCAGAGTCTCTTTTCATTATAGCTCGGGCTGTGAAGTTTTTGGACACCCTTTGTAGTTATCATATTTTGAACTAGTGATTAACTGTTACTTTTCAAGTTATAAATTTATATGTTTAGCTTCTTTTGATTGTGTTTGTTGTATTAACATGATAATATTGTATTTGCATTGAAATTTCAGTAAATTACTCACTTTTTTTGTTTATAGTTTGAAGTACACTTGTCTATTTCTGATAATGTAATAATACATTTATATAATTGAAATATAACTAATTAAATAAAACGATTTCCAATAATGGTATGGGTAAATATGACTGAGCTGTTTGATTTGATAAAACAAAATGTTCTGATTTAAAACATGAAAATATTACAGTGGGTTTATTTAGTGTACTGAATATACTGATGTGTCTTTAAGAACGTTTACTGCTTCTTCTCCTGGCTTTTATATTTTATTGCAGGCTCCAAAAGTAACCTAATTTGCAGGAAGAGTTTATAAAAACACTCAAGTGCATATCAGCTTCTGCTTTTGTTTAAATTATAGTTTTAGTTTCATAGACAAGTTTCTCTTTGTTATGAATAGCAAGACCAAAATTATAATCAGACTTTGGAATATATATATTATTGGGAATAATGAATTCTCTGGCATAGTGTTAGATCCTGTATTAACCTTTCACCTGTTTACCCTTTTTTTTTCTATTTCATTTACACACCTCTCATGTATAATAACACAATAACGTTTTTGTAGTAAAATTTATTCTAATTTTGAATATGATGTATAGTTTCATGATTTAGTGTTATCTTTCTTGAATGGCAAAATCCCTTTTATAAAATTATTAAGCATTGCTTTCTTCCTATTTAATACGACTATTATTCTTATTTTTAGTTGGTTAAGATAATCTTATTTATTTGTGCTGTAACACAAAATAATTTTATACACTAACAATTATAGATTTTGATCATAAATTTTTTTGAAGCACCACTGTTGAATAAATTGGTTTTACAAGTTATTTGAACTTTAATCTTTATAATTAATTACTCAGGCTGTTATCCATGACATGAACAAAACTCATGATGTTGTGAAGCTGGTAACCAGTAGTTTGTCTCGCTGTCATAAACAGTCTGTTGCTATTGCAGGAGGTAAACCACTAAATCCCAACATGTTAGTGGATGGTAGATACACACATGAAGAGGTAAGATTAGATAGTACTTCTGTCTGACAATATAATATTGCGTGTATTTGTGAGTAGTAGTAGTAATGTATGTGTGCAAAATATTTTATTTCAATTCTACACTGCTACAAAAATATTGATGATACTTGACATTGACAATATGTACTTCTTATTGAATCTTTTTTGGAGCTTTCAATATTGAGTTTGAAACATTAACAATATTCTGAAGAGTTGGTATTATTGTTTTTTGGAATATAACAATTGTTTTTCTTACCATACATTCTTTATTTATATATTTCTTAGTGTGTGTTAAGCCATCTAAGTTTCCTGCAGTTTTTACTTCAAGATGGAAGCCAATACCTACCATGGAGTCGAAGTAAAGAACTATGGGACACGTTGGTCTCAAACTCTGAGTCATGTGAAGTTGACAGAGAGGTTAGTAATACATATTTCAGTCTTTCAATGTTTTTGATTTCATTAGCAATATCACTTAGTTTTATTTCTATATATTATAACAGAATATACCATATGATTATTGAAAAAGAAATATCACCCCACATTTTATGTTCTCTTTATGCCATAATTTTAACCCTTGCACGACGGGCTTGGTATAAAATACACGAGTTTGTATACACAGTTGCACACGTTGAGTATTTATACCATAACTTTTAATGCTGTATGTGTATCTTCACAAAATTTGGTAGACTTTTAGTAATGATTCCAAGTCTTTTGTACACATAAAATCAGATTTTTTAATTAAGTATTTTTACTAAAGATTTGTTTGTGAAAATATTAAGTCTGTTTCATATTTTGACATCACAAACATCTAATTTGAACCAGTGCTGCACTCAACATTACCATGTGACACACAAAAATCGATGTTTAGGTGTGGTTTTTTAATATTTTTAAATTAAGAAATTAAATAATGTATAATACTAAAATTTAAATTATAATGTACAGTTTGATACCAAACTTTATTATATAAATTCATAAAATAACAGTTCAATAAAATTTTGAATGACTTGATCAAAGTATCAAAGACTTGATTAATGATTCACAAGTTACACAAACTAATTTTTTCCTCCAACTTTAATACCTTTACCAACAATTTAATCAAAAAGGCTGTCTGTTGGAAGTAATATGTGCATAATTATAATTATTATTATTATTATACAAATCAAATCTTAACCACATCACTATGGGTCATTGGCCAAAGGTCATGTCATCCTATTTGTTGACTCGTAATGATACTTTTTCCTAACTGTCAAAGTATATTTAAGGTAAGAAACTTAAATATTCAAGTTGAGACTTGGAATATATTGGAATTAAGATATTTGTTGTCATGCTATTGAGTTTTATTTTTATTTTAGTTGTTAGTGTCTCTTTGGTTCCCTTTAAAAGAAAAATGTTATTTCTAGATTTGCTATGAATGGTTCACCCAATGTCTTCAAGACTTAGAAACTGACACTCAGTCTCAATTGTTCCAACAGAAATTGCTGAAACTTGACTCTTCTCAGCTCTCATCAAAAGGTAGTTTAATATGTAATTTTTCAAATAACTTTTGCTCCACAACATTGAGTTTCTTCTATCATGTACAAGTAGCATTCCACATAACATTTTGGTTTTCATAATTCCAGCTAATGAGTTATGGTATTCAAAAGAAGACTTTTTGATCAATAAGAAGTGACTCGTAGTATAACAAAAAGTAGATGAAGCTGTACTATAATGCTGTTTTTACAAACTTCATATATTAAATCCTTACTGGAGAAATTTGGCAAAAGTGTTTACAGTCAAACATAAATTTTATTTTTGGGCCTGATTTATTTATTTAAAAAAAAGAAAGGTGTTTGTAGAGCATCTTCTAATCTCTAGAGTTTGAAAATTATACAATAAGGGATCCCTTTGATACTCAGAGTATTAGAAATAATATTAATAATATTAATTTATTAATATTAATAACATTAATTTATTAATATTAATAAATAATATTAGAGTATAATATTAGAAATAAGGGATCCCTTATTGTAAAATTTGCAGAGTTCAAAGGAAAAGTAGTACTTGTTCAGATCTCTGTAAAATGGAACCTTTGTGACAAAGTACTGTTGTGTGTTTACACAGAAAGATATATTTGGTCATAAAATGATTCACAGTTTAAATTTAAATTTATTTATTATTTGTTTCTTTAGCTAAGGTGAAAGCACTCCTTAATTTTGTTTTCACAATTGGAAAATTTAGTGTTTGGTTTGCCATGGGAGAAGATGAATATTTGATATTTAAAATAAAAATTATCTTAAAGTTCAAATAAAAGAGTTAAACTACATCCTGTTCCATTTTCCTGTTCATTAACTTAAGAATAGACTGACAAAAAAGAACTAATAGTTATGTATGAAGTTTTAAGTTAGTTACTGATAAGCTTAGTAGTCTTGGTAAAGTCCATGAATTTTGTCCACTCCTGAGTGTGACTGATTCTATGCAGACTAGCAGTTGATAATGAAATCAGGTTTAATCAGAAATTTAATTTTAGATATGTGGCCCTTGTAAATATTGCAGCTAGAAATTTCCTCCTCACAATATATTATTTTTTGATGAACTTGCTTCATATAGCTCATAGTTTAATGACTTCAAGCCAAACTAACTAAAAATCAAAGTTGAACGGAAGTAATATGGTAAAATTTATTTATAAAAAAATCAAGGAAACATGGATAATTTTTCTGACTTGTATTTTTCATTGCCTCATTGATTTCTTATAGCTAATTTGGAAGTGATTTCAGATCAATCATTCTATACTTGAGGCATTATCACAGTGATTTTTCACATATCATGAAAAGACACTAGCTTTGCATTTTAAGTTAGTTTTGCAGTGGTATCTCTTAAAAGAGTGACTTACTATTGACAATTTAAGGAAATAAGGCACTGTTACCTTAGTTACAGCAACAAGAATGAGAAGTTTTTACAGCATCTTTTCTTGCTGTTTTATAACTGGAAATTGTTTGGTGTAAAAATTTAAATTATTTTTCCACTTTAATTTTTTTAACAAATCAAAAATGGGAATTTTATTTATAGTGTATTCAAAAAATAATTGAGATTAAATAGCTTAAATCTAATAACATTATACATTTATATATATGTTTATTACTTTTATTATATTGACCTTTCAGCTGTGCTTGGCTAACAGTACAGAAGTTACAATGATGTGGCACAAATGCATTCAAGTTACTGTATCCAATAGTATTAAACTGACTCTTAGTCTCACAAAGCAACTTGTCTGTGTTTTAGTGGACCAGTATTTTGTAAATTATTATACATTATATATATATAACAGGAAATGAAGAAGTAAAGCAAACAATGAACTCTTCTTGTTACAACCTTTGTACTCGGTTGCTGCTTCTTGTAGCTTGCTAAGCCTTTTTTTAAATTTCGCACGGAGAGTATGTAAAACAAAATAATTTTTTAGGTTTTATGTATTCAGTTGAATAACCAAGAAATCATAAATTAATATATTGATACCATAGAATTTTATTATCATTTATCAAGTTAAGTAACTAAATTGTATTTGGGTCTACAATTTCTGAAAAATTTGGGTCTGAAATTTTGAGCAGACTAAATACACAACCTATCTCCTTGAAATCTTGTTTCGAAATAAGGAGTTGGCATCTTAAGAGATGAAAATGGCCGAGAACGCCACCAGAAGGACATTCTGAACTTTTGATTGGTTATTCACATATCATATACACAAGTAAGTGTATATAAGGAACCGTTTCCAAAAATGGAAAGAGGTGAGCAGGTCCACTGTGTTTGATTCAGTACATGAGCGGTATCTCAGCAAATAGAAAAGATAGGAGGTTCTTATTTATTATTCTAGCTTGTCAATATCAGTAATTTGAGTTCCTAATTCATATGTAACTATAGACTTTGTATTTTGACCTCACAAACACCTAATTTGAACCAGTGCTGCATTCAGCATACAATGTGGCACATAAGAATCAATGTTTAGGTATGTTTTTTATTATTTACTTTTAAATTATAATGTACAGTTTGATACCAAACTTAATGACATAAATTCATAAAATAGTAGTTCAATAAAATTTTGAATGCGAGTGAACAAACGAGATGACATGGCCTCTGATCTGTGTGGAAAGGGTGTGGACAAGTAGTGGTAGTATCGGTCATTCTGTACTTTTCAACTTAGGATTAAACCCCATAATTGTTCTTGATTTGTAGGCTTTACATCACGTACATTGAGAACTGAAATATGTGTAAGTACTGTACTAGGAAACCGTGAGTAGTGAAGCACGTATCAGTAAATTCATTTGTAAACATAATGTAATGTGACTATCAATTAGTTGAAATTTAAGATTCCCAAGTAAACTTTTTTTTATGTTTACAGGATTTAGATGTTTCAAAACTTACTTTGAAAGTGTCAATATAGCAGAGCACAAGCTAAGGAGATCTGTAACAGATGTGGTGAGTTTGTGTATATCTAGTATATATATATATATATAGATTTAATTATATGGATAAGAAAAAATAAAAGAAACAAAATAAATCAATGGGGGGGATCATAATACCCTAATTATTGTTTCTTTTTATTAAAGCTTTTTTTTCTCTAAATGTAACTGTGAGCAACCACCTTCCCATTTGTGGCTTTAGACAGTAAAGGGTGGTAAGAAGTAGGACATTCTCGGCTTGATTGCCGTGTAAAAAGCATGCTATCCTTTCTTTTGATGTAATCAGTTACAAAAATTATTTTGTTTTTAAATAATGTGTATGTATATATATTGATTAATTGCTTTCTTTCATTTCTCTATATCATACAAAGTTATAAAAGCATTTCACATTGTAATAGACTGTTAATATTAAAACTAAGTTCATACAAGAAACAGTATTTACAATAGAATAGCACAGTATGTGATAAAATATACATTTATATTAATATGGGAAATTTTTATGATTAGATTGTAGAAAAGTTGGACCTCACAGGAGTGGACTTTCTTTGGCAAATTGCTCTGGCTTCACCATGGGAAGATATAGCTGAGATGGCTATTGATAACTTGATGAAAACATCTTATCATTCAGTATCTGCAAAACTAAAAAAGGTGATTTGTGACTCACTTAAAGAAATACTGTAATGTATTGGTTTCTTATGTTTAATTAATTATTTTCCTGATGAATAATTTTTAACACTTTAAATTTACACAAGTCATTCTGGTCGTTGATTAATTGAAATATAAATATATTTATTTTTGTATATAAATTTTTGATATCCAAAGGTGTCTAAAACGTGATGTTTTTTTGGATGGAAACATTCCAACAAAACATTTTGAACTAAAAGCATAACACAAAATTTTTACTTGAATATTTATTGAAACAGAATGATAATTTTTTTGCATTTTGTAGAATATTTGTCATAATATGTTATTTTCATTTAAAGAAAAAGAAACTACTTCTAGGATTCTGGAGATCCTAAAAGGACCTGGAATTTTCAATGTGCAATTTTCAGACACTGAAAACCCTAGTTTATTCCCTTGGAAAATATAAGGTTTTAAAAAGCGTTTGTCAAAAACAAAATATTCTGTCTAGTACGTCATGATTCTTTTTTATCTTATTAGTGTTAACATGGTGGAATGAATATTTCATTGTTTTTGACACATTTAACTCTTCATGTTTAGATCAATAAAACATAATCTTAAAGCATTTAATCAGTATTTAAATAACATCATTGTAAAAATATCTTTGTTATGGTTAGTAACCTATACAGTCATCTAAGTCTACATATAAATTAGTAACTTTTTTATAACTACATACTAAGTACTAACTAGTTTTTATACATATAGGGTTAATGGTGATATTAGATCTATAGACATTAGGCTAGGGGGCATGATGGATCTCTGCAGTTAACTTCACAATGGAAAGGGGAACCTTGTTTATGAATTGTTAGCCTCAGGCAAGCCAAAGGTGTATGGAGTGGTTCTGTGGCATAATGTTAGTAGTTTGACTGTTTCTATTCCAACTTTTTTCTCCTAATTCTTGAGGGGGGTAGTAATCTTCTCTTTGTTAGCAGATGGGTTAGACTTAATCTTCATGAAAATGGCCATCTTCAATTAAAATTTGGATTTCGATGTATATTCCTCTTTGTCCATGATTATAGTAACAATCTCTTTGTCTGCTGGTAAAACTTTTACAGTGTTGTCTTTCTTCTAGTTTTTGAGGACACTTTGTTTCTTAGAGGATATTATTATAGTGGGGTTTACATTTCATGGCTTTCTGAATTGTTGATATTATTTTTACTCTGAGTTCTTCCTTTTCTTTATCTGGTAGGTTGTGAATTGTGTTTTCTGTGGTTGTAGGTGGGTATTTTGTTATGTGGTAGGGCACAATTTAGTCCTTAACTTGATACAATGTTATCAGATTCTGTTAGTAGTCATTTACTGGTTTATTATGTTGCAATCAGCCATATCTTTAGCATTATGACATTTTTTGTTTTGTGACTGAATAAATAATTTAATTTCTTTAAACAAATCTTGATAGAGTAACTTCTCTTTTGTATTATTTGTTTTCTGATATAGATTATTAATTATGTTCTGTGTCATGTGTTTGTTTATATGGTAAGATTTGATCTAATCTTAGAGCATGGTGGCTTTATTAAATTTCAGAGTTAGTCTTCGACATTATGAGATGTTGACAGGTAATTAACCTTAAGTTATTTAGTAATTATGTTATATTGTTTACCTTTATGAAGGAAAGTGAGGTAGTTATTTATTTTAGGTAATTTACAGATAATTTTTAAGCCCCTAAATTCCTTAAAATGTCTGGGGCTATGCCAGGTCATTGGTTACTAATTAATGTCTAGACTTAGGTGATCATTATAGACAACGAATGATATCTGATCACTACAACTTTTATCATATGTGGAATATCTAACTGAGAATATATAAAATACTAGTCAAGATTGTGGGTTTGCAATTAGAATTCATCCCAATTCTGTACTAGAAATCGAAGTGTATAAAATTTGATAACCTCCCAATATCGGATACAGCCAATTTGATTTCTCCACTTGGAATTCAAATTTATATTTCTTTAATATAAGTCAATTTTGCTGATTATATAAAACTTTTACAAGTCAGATAATATAAATTCTGTAGTAATTACTGACTCTATCTGAAACTTTGGAATTATTTGTACACAATTAGATAAAGTGATTTTGTAATAACTCAAATTTCATTGGATAACCCAAATGTTAATTGTAAATTTTTGGAAATAACTTATAAGTAATTTATGTGATTTAAGGGTAGACTTATTGAATCTTGGACATTGTGGACTACATGCGATCTATGGAGCTTTTATAAATCTTTAGATGCTTCCAATTTGGGAATTTGGAAACATTTTACCTAGTCTTTATTATAGGGTCTAAAGGGGTTGTTGTGTCAACAAATTTATTCACACACAACTATTTTTGTTGTCAGTTGCCAATGAACTTCAGCCATATTTTTCACACTATATCAAACTGACAAACTTATGATAACTTTTATCATTTGAGAAAGTGAACTTCATGAGAAATTTTATGATATTATTCATAAAAAAAAAGGCTGTCTATCGGTATCCCACTTCAGTTTATGCTATTTTAAAAACTTGTGTCTGTTAAAATAATGATGTTATTTTAAGTATGTATTGTGTTTTACTTCCACAAAGAACCAATATTTATGCACCCTGGGTTTCAATACTCATGGTGGGCAAAGCATACATAGCCCATTATGTATAGGATGTGAAAAATATGTAGTGTTGATATTACTAATTTATTCTTCAGATATGGTACATTACCTCTTCTCATATATATATATATAGCTATTCTCATTCAGTGCTGCCCTCTAAATTCAAAACTTTTTTGCATGACACAGGCTTTACACTATCACTTACCCCATGATTATTTTTTAAGTTTTCAGTGATAATGTACTCTGGATATTCTTTTTTATTTGTATTGTTTTCAAAATCTCATCATTTTATGATGAATACTGAAGTTAATGTTACCACTTCATATATTCTACATCCTGCTATCATCACAATTACACAGGCTTCAGGTCGGGGAACTCAACTGAGGATATTTTGGCCTTAATTAATCAGGAGATTGACCATTATCTGAGTCACCCTTTTTCTCCTGATAGTGTTTGACTTTCTCTTGAACCTGCTGAACCTGTTTGTGACAACAAGGATATTAGCAGCCTTTTTCCCCCAACCCAATATCTTGGGGGTCTTTTTCTACTCCCACTTCAGTCGGGCTCCATTTGATGAAGCTATCAATTCTCCACATCATTGCTGCTCCTTTTATTACTGCTTGTGAGGGCCTGTTGCTTTTGGGTACACAGGCTTCTATGGAAGCACTTATCCCCTTAGGTCGGGCATGTATGTGGTCTCTTCAGTGGACTCTAAACAACCAATGGAATCTTACTTGGGATCCCTTGGATTCTCCCATTACCCTTCCTCCTTCCCTTGTCAATGATCTGTGTTAGAGGTTGTACAGGGCCCACACATCATTGGGTGTACTGCTTCCTCCTCCTTGCACAGATTTGCATCTCTTCACCGATGCTTCCAGACAATGGTCTACAACTGAGCTATCTTATCATATCAACATCTTGGAATCAACTTGTTCTGATCCATTCCGATATTTTACAGTGGTAGCTTATATCAAAGTGTCACCTGTTCTCATTCCCTTTGCATAGATCTACTTTTTTGGGTCCTCACACTTGGGGTAAGTAATGAAGATGAAATTGGTTGATAAAACATTTTATTTACAAGGCTCAAATGTTTCGAAATAATTTATTCCATCTTCAACGAAATCTGAAAATTGTGTCGCAAAGGTGATTATTACTAAAA